AAATCATGTACTTACTAAAAATATTTCTTTTAAGAGATCAATTTACATATAACTCGGATGATTTGTACGAGATATATACATTTTTATAGTGAGCATATGTGTGAACATTTTAACCCACACTAGGTTAGGTTATGTTCGGAAGGCACGTGCTAACAGTTGTCAGCACTTCTACTCGGAGACATATATTGCCCATTGGGATACCCTTAAAAAATTTTACCAGGAGATGCGAGTTGCTAACCTTTGTTATCCTCGTAAAACCATTTGGTTTTCCAGATGAAGTTGAGGAGATTCGATAAGTTTGCTTTCGTTATCTCTTCCAAGCCAGTAAAATAAGGATCCCCAAGACATTAAAGTAGGCTTGTTTGAAGTCCTGGACAGAGACACAGGAAGTGGTTGATAATTTTTACCTCCTCTTCATCTGGGCAACTCCTGTATAATCCACTTGTTGAAACTCGCCACCGTTGGAGCATAGGCGCAATGGCACAGTGCCCCTGCACACGAACTGCAGGTTTGCTCAAACCTTGAATGCTTTTCGTTTTATTTTTGTCCAACTTAGGCCATAAGATTCTAGCGACCTTACAGTCTTCGCGGTTAGTTTATAAATTGTTAGTCACCGTATTGATTTTCTCTATTATCCTAAACAGTTTACATAATGATGTATATATTGAGAGGTCGGCCTCTCCTGTATGCAATTCAGAACCTCTTCTGGCCATCTCATCTGCTAGGCCATCTCATCTGCTAGTTCATTCCCTTCAATATTGCTATGTCCAAGTATTCGAAATGTACTATGTCCAACAAAGAGAGACCTTATGATGTTGGATGCTCATCAGTGATGCGAGTATCTTGGAATTTAGATTCAATTGTTTTCAGTGCGGCCTATCTACAAAAATCGTGATATTCGAAGGACGAATTGTACTTTGTTGTTTAATGTTGACATCTTTTTCGATAGCATATATCTCGCCGTGAAAGACGCTGTAAGTAGCAGGGATTCGGTAGCACTGTCTTATCTGCATATCTTTCGAGAAGATACCTGCTCCCGTACCGCCTTCCATCTTTGAGCCATCTGCGTAGATAGTAACTGTAGAGTTACCGATCACAGATCCAAGATTCCAGCTATCTATCTCTGGTTAGATACAGAGTGGGAACCCACTAATGAAGTTATTTTCCTCAAAGAACCTTATTGATTTCGTGACCGAAGAGATAACAAATTTTTTTGATCGTTTTTGCCTATCTAATAGTTTTATCAGTTTCGATCCATCGCCATGGATGGAGACGCAAGATTATAGAGATGAACTTGAATTCTGTGCCAGACTTTATATGATAAATGATTGAAAGAGGAATTAGGCTTATGATGGATTATAATTCGATTTTGACAAAATATGAAGAGGAAAAACAATATGTTCTGCAAGTAGTCAAACATTATCATAAAAATTATCCTTCACATAGTCAGATTTATGTCATAAAACATAATAAACACAATGTATTAATTACTGAAAAAAAAAGTTTTATTGAAATTATAATTTTTTATAAATAATTAACTAAATCGTAGCATATACCTATTACGTAATTGTGCATGCCAGCTAAAAAGTATGAAATAGAAAACAGAGCACAGTCGCTGAACTAATTATTGTGTTTTGCGCATAGTTTTTAACCGATTTTGCTCATCAGTATCTTATTAAAAAGATATTTTAATTATCTATCAAATGAGTATATATTAATAAGTTGAAACAAGTAACAAAGATAAAAAATGACCTTGAATTGAAAAATTACTGTTTTTTGTCCTGAAAACCCAACTTTGCTCGAATGGCGCAACGTCATTTTTAATCCTATTGCTCCAAAACTTTGGGAATATCATTTTTTTGGTCAATGGCATATTCCTAGGGGGTGCGCTCATTCAAAACTTCATTTTTAATTTTCCCCCTTATAACGTGAGCCACCCTAGTGTACCACATATATAATACCTGTAGAAAATTAAGTAAAACTTACTTTAGAAAGTGAAAGAGAAATTAAAATTAAATTTAAACAGTCTTTATGTATATAATGTATAATTTGTGTCTAATATATAAAATAAAAACTAAGATTAACTTACATTATGCCGCCAACTGACTTTATATATCCAAGGATTTGACTTGATGTTGCATTCGAAGAAGACGTCAATGCCTTCTCGAAGTGATGAGTTCATAGAGTTGGTGCCCAATTCCAAACTCACAACCGGAATATCTGCAGATGTAGAAAAAATGCATATTAAATTATTTAAAGTTAAAGAATTAATAATTAATTATATCAAACTTTATGTTATTTTTTAAATAATTGTTAAAAAAAATATAAAAAAAATTTGTGTGTATATTCAGTAGATGGCATTAAAAATAGAATTCTAAAAATATTTTAAACTTATATCTTAACCCAAAAATATTCTTCTTTACACATTTTTTTCTTGTAAAATTACTTAATTTATATAAAAGTTGTAAGAAAGTACAGTTTCTTCTCTTTTTCTGGTTCGGTTTATAAAAATGATAAAAATATTATTAAAATTAGTCCTTATGAAGTTTGACATTTAAATTTGGTTTGAGTTCTAAGGTTAATTTTCAGGTGTCCTTCTTATCTACTGTTTAAGCGAATGCAGATATACATTAAGATATGTATGTGCATGCAACCCTTATCATCATTTGACATTTTCAGCAAAGGACAAAAACATTAGGCATTCTAATTTTCTCTATATTATATTGACTTAGTAATTTGACAGGATTTACTGGAAGAGGTGCAAAGTGCAGTAATTATTTTTAAAAATTTTGCTAACTTAAAAGTTGAAAACGTTTTGGTTTATTCTATAAATATTTTTAAATTCATTGATTTTTTTTTTGAAAAATTTATGATTTCCTTATTATAATTAATCCTCTTACTTAAAGAAAGGAAGCTTACCGAAATTAAATAAAGCACATTAAAATACACACTCTTATATAAGAATTATTTAAAAAAAAATAAGATGTAAAACTCAGTTTTTATTTTTTATCTACTGAGCAATTTTAATTTTAAAATAGACTTTGCGGTTTCTTAATACTCAAAGAAATTAATATAATAATCAAAGCAGGGAATAATTGTGTTTGGACTATCGGAATCAAATTTCGTTTTCATAAAACTATACTCAAGTAGAGATTTTGAACAGAACAAATTTTATTTTTGCTCTAATAAAGGGCCTTGATATTGATGCAATATAAAAAGATATTGCTTTGGGCTATTTTTAAATTTCAGATTCCGTTATGTTATAAGTATCTATTTATGATATTACTAAGTAGTAGTTTAGTAAGCAATGTTGATAAGTGGTATTATTTTCGCTAAATTTAGTAGTAGAGCATATAGTTCGCACGCTATATATTGTTTATCGAGTCAAGCCTTTTAAAGTATTGGTTCGCTGTCAGTAATGAATTTCATGTGGATAAGTATGTTTATCTAAGTCACACTCACTATTAAATACATCAAATACTATAAGCTGCTTCAAATGATGTAAGTATCTCAAACTGTATACATATAATATAAAAATTGCAATTAAAAGTGCGATAAAACATTAATTATATGTATATAACTGCAATTAAAGCACATTTTTCAATAAACTTATTTTAAATGCTTATGCTAAGAACAATAATAAATCTAAGATCACTTAGATTTAAGTCTAAAGCACTTTGTTAATCTACAGGAATACCGATGAATAAGAAACGGGCATGGATATATATATTCCAGACATGTAGATTAAAAATTATATGAAAGATGAAACTATACAAAAATTTATATACATTTTAAAGAATTTATATAAACATTGCAATAAACAATATGAGAATTATAAATAAACATATGTATATAACTATAAACAATTTTTGTATTAAATTTAATTTATAATGATATAAGAAACTACGAAAACAGTTCATGATTATGGAACCAAAAATAATAAAAGTTCAAGGTATGCCTATATATATATATATATATCAAAGATACTAATTGTAACTATATTATAGTTTTCTAAAAGCCACAAAACTCAGTTACGGATAACTTTAAAAATTTGTTAAATTCTGTATACTTCTCCAAAATGTAAATACATCTCAAAACATCCATTTAAATATGCAACATTAACAATACAAAAAAAAAAAAATACATACATATATATGTCTTTACAATTATAATTGTATCACTTTCCCTAATAATTATGGTAGAACAATAATAATAGTAATGTCTTTACAAATTGAAATTATTTTATTGTACTGGTTATACTGCTTGTATCATGGGTAAGAAGATCAAGGTCCATATATTTCAAATACACTAATAATTATATTAAATTTTATTATTTGATATAGTTATCGTGAGACACTTAACATATGCGAAAATTGCAATTACCTAACAAAATGAGAATTATAAATATTCAAGTACAAATTAAATCAGTTTTTAAAATAATCTGATTTAAATACTGTTTAATTTTTTATATGGATAATTTAATAACAAAGAACAGTTTATGATAATAGCCATATATAAGAGTTCATTTAAGTTTAATAAAAATAATTATAATTAAAAATAAAAAATTAATATTTGTAATAGTTTTATTTATTTACTTGAAATTTAGTACATATACATTTTCTATGTAAAATATTCTATTCTGCATATTCTAGTTTAGTACATATTTAATTATTCTAAAAAAATAATTTTTAAAGAATATATAATGATTACAGAATTAGAAATAATTATAATTAAAAAAAATAATTTAATAATTTTTTAGAATTAATTTAACTGAAATTTAGTTTGCATACACAATATGTGAAATACATGTTAAATTATTTTTTAAAAATACGTCTAAAATAATTTAATTCTAAAAGAAATTTTTTGAGCAAAATGTGATGATTACTACCATAAATTAATAATAATTGGTATGAAATATAAAAAATTAGTATTTTTGGTAGAATATAGTTTAAAATTGTATTAAATTGAAATTTAGTGTGTATACGTAATGAGTAAATTGCAAATGATACTATTTTTTTTTTATTTAAAAACATATTTTTATTCTAAAATATTCAATTTTTCAATAAAATTAAATAAATCTGAAGCGAAAATAAAATTAAAATCATTTTTTGGCATAATGCGTGTATTTACTTTTTAATAACTATTCCATAATGTCATTATGGAAGTTTCAGTTTTTTAATAAAATTTTATGGCAAATATAAATCAAAAATAAAAATTTCCAATATACCTATATTTTAAAAATTCATTTTTTTTTAAATAACTTAATATTAGTACTTAAATATAAATAATTTTAATAATATATATTTAATGCATTATATTCAAGTCATCAAATTATTTTTAAAGGACAAAAAATTTCAAGGCTCTATCATTATCAGAGCCTCATATATAGCATAGGCATTTAAAAACCATTCCGATTGTAATAGACCAATATATACAAAACAAAACTATTTTAGTGTACTGGTTATATTGTCAGTGGCTGATAATGATGGTAATGGTTAAATATGTTTAACACACAAAGTCTATATTATATTAAAATTATAGGATTTCATATTTTTAACTTATAGAACAGCACATATATATTAGAATTGCATTAAACCAAGTGAGCATTATAAATATATATCTGTATATAATTCTAATGAGTTACTTTTGGCATAAAATTTAATTAAAATGCTGTTGATATTTTGCCTAATTTTGAATGGAAAGACAATAAAATCAAATTTAATTTATTTCTCAATTTTTATTTTTAATATTTATTAATTATATTATATAGCTATATAAATGGTGCATATACGTACATATATGTAAATGTTTATATACACATACGTAAATGTTTATGTTTTATGATTTCATGAATCGGATAAATAATGGAATACAGCGCCTTTAATTTTTTTTAACTTTATTTTATATAGTTGATTTCAATATTTTACAGATCCTTAACTCTCTATAGACCTGAATTTAATTCAAAATTTTAAGTTTGTTTTTGTTTTGTATAAAATAGTAAAATTTCAAAAAAAAATAAAAAAAAGTACTGTAATATATTAAAAACATATAAAAGTATATGCATTATTAAAAATGCATTAAAATATTGGCAAAATATTATTAACGAAGATTTTTAAATTAATTTATATGAAATCTATTATTTTTGATATAGTAATTTAATTTAATATTTATATTGTATTGAGTTTATAAGTTATAATATTTATTTCATATTTATAAAAACAAGTTATTAGATTAATTATATATAATATAATTGTTATTAATATCTAGTGTAATACAACAAATTTAAAATGGAGGAAAAAATAGGTTAATACTACTACTACTATAAAAACATATATTATGGTATAGTATATGTAAATAAATAAATATGTAAATAAAAATTTCATGAGTAATTTTAAAAACTTGTTATTTTTTTAACATAAATTAGGGATATTTTTCATATCTCTATAATCCTATATATAGTATAAAATTTTTAAAGTAGTAAATAGTAAGTCTCATGAAAAGTATAAAAATATTTCATGAAAAATTTTTAAAACTTGTTTTTATTTTATTATAAATTAAGGATAATTTCATTAATACTATATATAATATTAGAATATTTTTATAATTTGGTTCTGTTTTTTTATAGAATAGTAAGTTTCATAAAAAATATAAAAAATGCTGTGATATATAAAAAACAAAATATTATTCCATAGCATAGTGTATGTAAAAAAATATTTCTTGAGATATTTCAAAAAAATTATTTTTATTTTAACATAACTTACGATAAATATCCAATTTCCAACCATCTTCCTTGCCAGATTCAGGTATCATGCTCTGTTCCGCACGACATGAAAGAAATTTTCCGCGATCATCGATGGTGGGTGTAAAAGTCAATATTGACGTTGTCATATTTCCATCCGGATTTGCCTGATACAAGGAAAAAGCAGTCGAGTTAAGAAAGTTTGAACAAACGCAAGAAAAAATTAAATAAAGTAACGTAGCAAAGCATTCAAGTGCAGTGCAAAAATATGCAATAAATTTTCAAAGAATTTTCTTTAGTCAAAATACGGAAAGAGAATGTAGGGAAAAATTTAAAAAGAAAATCAAAAATCAAAAATTTAAAAGTGAAAAGTTAAAAGTAAAATGTGACACTACCAAGGAAAATGACACGTAAAATATGCAATGAAAATTTAAAGAGCAAACATTGACGGAGTAAAAATTAAATAAAAAATTGGTAAATAAATTGCAAGGCTAAATGCAGCTGCGGTTTTCACTCGAATCGTGCATTTCATTACAATTTTCTGCTGAGACGGACGTTTTTCTCTATAATTTATTTTATTTTTATGTAAGCGATTAATTAACTTCAATACTTGTTGTTGTTTTGTTTAATTAAGTAAATGCAATATTTATTGATTAAATTTTAAATGAAGCAATTTAATGCATAAGTGTATATAATGCATAATAAGTGTATATAATTAAATGAATGTTTCTTAATTAAAATTATAATTTCAAAAGGGTTTTTAACAAATTATTTCTTTAAAAATTGAAATTAATTATAAAGTATGTTTTCTAACAATATAGCATAAAAGCTAGATATAATTTTTTATTCCAAGATTAAATACTAATGAAGATTAAATACTAAAAAAAATCTAAATAAAAATCTCTTTAATATTTAGATATATTGTATCTAAATATGACTTATATTAACTGCTTAAGTCATACACCTTTGCCTAGTCAATTAAATACTCTTTAAATTTATGCCTAATATATTTCTATACTTAAATCTTTTCGAATAGGCTACTCGGGGTGGTATGCAGATCTGAGGTCAATTATTGCTTAGTCTGATGAAGTGATAAACAATAATCCAGTCAAGGCGTAAAGAGGGGTTTTGAAAATACCTCGAGTTAAGAAAGAGTAAAAGCGCTTAAGTGAACTGGCTCAAATAGCTTCAACATAATAATTAATATTAATGAATAATATTTGTTGGTGATTCAGAATTAAATTTTATAAAAAGGAACGAAAATTTATTAAAAAATATATGTATTAAAAAGACAAATTTTGAATCACTAATAGATTTAGAACCCATTTAAGTATACAGAATTATGAATTACTTCATGAGGCTAAAACAATTTTTTTGAATAAACAATTTTAAAGATATAGTGTATCTTTTAGTTCAATTATTTTTTAAAATATTATTTAAAATATTTTTTTTAAAATATTTTGCTTAGTATCTAAGCCATAAATATTCGTTAAAAGCTCCTCCATCGCAAAAAAAAATTACCATTTCTTTCAAATGATTTTTTTCATTTCTTCTGCTAATGAATCTACATTTTCTTTTATACCACTTCATTAGAAAACACTCCATATATTATTCATTCTACCAAAATACTTACAATTTCATGCGTATTCTTCATTGCCGTACTGCCTTTCCACCAAGTGATTGTGGGAGCTGGACGTGAACCAATGACAACACAGCTCAACTGATATGAGTTATCCGCTGATAAAGGATGATTTTCACCTTTAAGTCTAACAATAAGTGGACGCACTTTATAAAAGTAAAAAATAAAAAAAAGAAGTAATTAGAAAATTAAAT